CTGTGAGGACACTAGCGACGACTCACTGGACACTTTAATGTGAACAGTTTGGGTGCTCCACTGGCCAGAATTTTAAAGAAGCAGATGCAAAACCGGCTATGGAAGGCCATGGCCGTCTATCCCCTTCCCAGGCCTAAGCCAGTGTCCCACACTTAAGGGCTGGAGAAATAGCCAGATCATTCTTGCTGGGCCCCTAAGGACAGTCTCGGAGGACAGTTTCCCACCCCTTGGTGAGTGCAAACAGTCATGACTCATCTAGTCTTCCAAAAAGATCGTGATATTTCACTCCGCTGATCCTAGGAGGCCAGCCGGGCTTTTCAGGAGACTATTGGGTCCGTGCGCTAGGCACATGATCTGGCTTCTGTGTGTGTGTGTGTGTGTGTGTGTGTGTGTGTGTGTGTGTATGTGTGTTGCGCATGTATTGTATGTGTACAGGTGTGCATTCATGTTTGCACATTTGCATTTAGAGGTCAGAGGTCAATGTCAGTTATCTTCCCCAGTAGACCTCCACCTTGCAGTTTTAAAAAGTTCTCTCCCAGAATCTGAAACTCAACAATTTAGCTAGGTTGGCTAGCCAGCGATCCCTGGTGTAATCCCCACCACTGGGGTTACAGTTATAGTGCTTCATGCCAGGATTTTTATGGCTATGTCTACTGTAGGAAATCCTACAGCCAGTAGCCCTTAAGTACCCGCCCACTTTGGCGTGGCCTCTTATACTATTTATGCTGATGTAAAGTGTGTGTGCGTTGGCCTCTTTTCCGGCTGCGGGATTCGGTTGCTGTTCTCCGGTCCAGCAGAGGATATTGATTTGTGAGTCTACTCCTAAATAAATAACCATCTATTATTCTCAATTCTGAGCTAGCGTGGGATTTCTTTTAAGCATCCTTCTTTATATGTCAAGTTTCAAATGCAGCCGTGGGCTTTATCCTCTGAGCCATCTCTCCAGCCCTTGACCTGGTTTTTGAGTGGTTAACTTAGTCAGGTGCTAGCCATTGGCAGAACTCACAGATTTATTCCTTGGCCTGTGGAAAGGGTTGATGATCAATGGACATCTTTGAGGTTCTCCCGATAGCTGAGAGAGTAAACAAAATGATTTCTGTCTAAGGGGATGGGCGGAGGGGCCCTCAGTGGGTGCTGCCCTCCTCATGACGGTAAGGGATGAGAGGAGGGAGCCTCAGTGGGTGCTGCCCTCCCTCCTCATGATGGTAAGGGATGGGCGGAGGGGCCCTCAGTGGGTGCTGCCTTCCTCCTGACTGCAAGGCTAGGACTCTCAGTCTCTCTTGTGAGACTGCTGTAGTTCCTGTTCAATTCACTAGTAATACTAGTGAGCTTAGCTTAGCTCGCTGTACTTTAAACCATCAGCGTCCACCTCCAAAGACCTCATAGTGCACAGAGGAGGTACAGACACTGAGAAGTTCACCTGGCTATGGCCCAGTCACAGCTGATGGGCCACATGGGGTTTCTCCCTGGAGGACGCTTGGCGGCAGTTGATCTGATAAATACTGTTTCCTACCCTAGAAAGAGGACCTTCACCCCCACCCCCAGGCAGCCTGCAATCCTATGCAGGGAGCCAGAACAGTCCCGAGTTTCCTCAGGGCACTAGATTTTATATTGGAGCTGCTGGAAAGTATGGGACCATATGAGCGTTGATCTCCACACAGGACATGAGACCATGGCAACCAGACCTGAACAGCAGCAGGTGGCAGGCACCATGAATGGAGTGGAATATGTACTCTCTGGAGGTGAGGAGAGCCCTGCCCTGCTCATGGTACATGACAGCCATAGCCCAAGGAGTGATGGGTCAATAATAGTGAATTGTAGCCCCAGGGCAGAAGCACAGGCTCAGTGTGCCTTTTGGGTCTTGGAAGCCCTACAGTTTGTAAAAGGCTGAGGGTCCCTTTGGGGTTTAAGTGTCCGGAGCCGGCTCCTCAGTTCATGAGGTGGGGAGACTGTGGGACCCTTAGGAGGTGGAGCCTGGTGGGAAGCCCTTACTTAGGCCCTTGGGTACTGTCCTCAGACAGGATTAGACAGCACTCTTGGGACCTCTCAAGCAGTGAATCATTAGGCCAAACTCATCCATTAAGCAACTTTCTTTCTTCCACAAGTGCGCCAGTGCCATTGCGACACTTCGACTGTCGGGCTAGACCAACATCTCCACCAGCATTGCTAGCTAACTAAACTTTCCCAGGCTCTGGAAGTGTCTTGTCACCAGAGAACACACCACACAGAGGCGTGATGTTGCATGTTCAGGAATAGACGGGCACACTCAGCAGTCTCAGGAGGTGCCAGTCGGGCTGGTACCCAGTGATGCCCAGGGCACAGGGTGGCTCTGCATGGCCCTGCTAAGTCTGGAGCTAAGAACCGCAGCAGGCCACATCCTACCCATCACGTTACACTCCCGTCCTCACTGTGTGTCTCTGGACGCACTCTTCATACTTCCCAGGATCTGTAGTGAGAGGAGGACCCAAGGGTGCTTCAGGGGTCAGCTTGGGGTCAGAGCTCACAGAGATGGAGGGCACTGTGCCTCAGTCTCTCACAGCGGTTACCACTGAGGATCGATGGAAAACCTCATCATTAATGGAGCAGTCTGAAGTACACAGTCATTCACTGTATGTCCAGAGACCACTCTGGGAAAATATACTCCCTGCCTCACCCTGTAACTTTTCCCTTGGGCCTGTGCGCTGAGACTCTGACAGACTTCTCCAGAGCTGAGCTGATGCCAGGCCCTAAACTTCTAGAATGCTGAGAGCTAAATGTATCTCTTCTTTCCATAGAGTAACGAGCTTCAGTTATGTCATTATAGTAAAAGAAAATGGATCTGTGTATCTTTTGTTGTCCTATTTATTTGTTTTTACTAGATATGTTGGTGTGTGCAGGAATACGTGTGTGTATGTGTTAATGTGCATATGTACATGCATGTGTGCTGTATGTACATGTATGGGCTTGCTCACCCTTGCTGACTGGCATGAACAGAAGCTCAAGATTGAAGTTGGAATGTCTTTTATAATTTCTTTATCTTAATTTTTACGCTGGGTCTCTCTTACTAAATTTGAAGCTTGGCATTTGGTTAAACTGGCTGTCCAGTGAGCCTCTGAGATCTGCCCATTTTTGTTGCCTAGCAAAGAGATTGCAGGTATACACTGCCTGGCTCTTACACGGGGGCTGGGGATTCGAACTGAGGTCCTCATGCTGTGCAGCAGGCATTTTATCCACCGAGCCTTCTCCTTAGCTCTGGATGTCTTTTCTTAACTTTTTAAAAGCTTTCTTTTTATTTGTTCTTTGTGTCTTTCACATCATGCATCTCCATCCCATTCATTTCCCCGTCCCTCCGTATCTGCCCTCTGCCCTTACATCCCTCCTCACCCCGAAATAAAATGAAATTTAAGAGAAAAAAAGAAAAGGAAAAAGGGGGAAATCTAGTTAGGGAAGCTGCAGTGTGACACAGTGTGTACGTTATGCGCTGCCCAAAAAGTGTCCAGTCCAGGATGCAAGTGGCTTCTGAAGATAAGGTTGACTGTTTTTCTAATTCACACTGACGTTCTATATAGGCAACACAGTAGTGTCTGGAGTCCCTTATGCAGGGGCTGGGGATATGGCAACAGTAGCAGGACCCAGCAGGATTCCTGAATCTGAGGACCTGGCCCCTGGCCCAGGCTCCCTGAGAAGCTCCTAGGAGAGTCACCCAGCAGGCATCGGCCTGGACGGCTGTGGTACGCTGAGTTCTGGTCCTAATTTTCCCTCTGCCCTGTCCTCTACTGCCCAGTGACGACACTCAGGATGAAAACCAGGCACGGAAAGGGCAAAACGGCTGCCAGCTGGACTTCTTGCTCCCCCTAGGCTTCCAGAGCCATGGGGATCTGGCAGGCTGCGGTGCCGGGAAAACACATTGTTTGGGGGCGTTGTGGATACAGTACAGGATATTTTTAGCAGATTGTTCTGACTTAGTGAAAAACCTGAAAGATAGTGTTGATGAGCCCCTTGTTTTAGCTCCGCAGATGGCTGGGCTATAATTAGACGCTTGTTTCTGGGCGTCTCTACAGTTCTGTAAGAAGACACCTTGAGGGCACAGAGCGCATGGCGGGAGGGCGCCTTCGTGGTTTTATTCAGGGTTTTATCTTTTACTCTTTACTCTCAAGCATTAACTGTGTTTGTGACAAAAAAAAAAAAAAAGTTAGTGATTCACTGGTCTCTCAAGCTAAGATTAGCCCAGAGAGAGGTCAGAGGTTGGTCCCCGTTTTCTGACCCACTGACAAGCTGCCAGCCACCCTCCTCCTGAAGGTGTGTCCTGGGCCCACAGCCAACCAGGTTCTCTGGGCTCTCCTACGCTGCCCTTTCTTTCCTAGCAGGGCTTTCGTCTGTGATGACCTGTTTATGTGTGAAACACTGGGCTGACACCCGTCCCCTCTCCTGCCCTTCTCACTTCACAGGGAAGGGGCTATGGCTTTTCTAGTCACAATTGTTCTGGTGCTTAACATGGAGCTATCTGCGTTTGGTCACCAGCTCTCTTCTGGTATCTGACTCATGGGCTCCCTGCCACAGGACCCGTGGTGGGTCTGTCTCTGCGAGTTTGTTTCCTCATCCAACAAGAAGAAATAATTTGTGAAGCATGCCCAGGACACAACACATGAACAAGGACGATGCAGACGAGGTGTGAGAGGAGATGGGCCTGCTGAAACAGTAGACAGGAGCCGGCCAATCCACTCTTAGGGTTGAGATGGACTGTGGACACCATCCTAGGCAGGAGTCCTCTTACCGCCCCCAGCTGAGCTTCAAGACCCTGCCTTTGGAGACTAGTCACATAAGACATGCTGATCTGTTTCCCGTTACTGTCACAAATACCCAAGGTGACAGGCCTGTCAGAGCATAGGCTTCTTAGCTTGTGGGATTGGCCCAGTGATGGTGTGTCACTGAGGGATGTGTGGTAGAGCAAACCCTTCACCTTACTGGGGAAGTAAAAGGGAGTGAAAGGCCAGGTGTCCAGGGTCCAACATCCCTATAAACCCTGTGACCAGTGACTCCCCTTGGCTGCACCCCATAGATATTCCATAACCCCCCATTGCACCCACGGACAAAGCATTGGCCTTACTGATCTCCAAGAGACGCATCAAGTCTAAACACCACTGAGAAACAAGCATCCTACTTTCAAGTTTGGTTTGTGTCTTAGTTTGCTTTTCTCTTGCTGTAATAGACACCACGACCAAAACCAACCTTGGAATGGAAAGTTCTGTTTCAGCGTACCTCTTACAGTCTAGATTACAGGGGAAGCCAATTCAGGAACCCTGAGGCAGAAACTGAAGCAGAGACCACACAGAATACTGCCTACTGACTTGTTTTTGTTTTTGTTTTTTATGGCTAGTTTGGTCTGCTTTCTTACACACCCCAGGACCACCTTTCCAGGGGTGACACTACCCACAGTAGGATGCAATCTCCTATATCAATCATTAACTAAGAAAATGCCCACCCCAGACTTGCCTACAGGCCAATCTGATGGATACATTTTCTCAGTTGAGGTTCCTCTCCCCAGATGGTTGTAGCTTGTATCAACCTGATACACAGCTAACCAGGAAGAAGTATAAGGTGCCACTCTGCATCCTGAATCTACATTCCTGGCTGCTTTTGCCTGTCTAGTCACTCCCTCTGAGAGAAGCCAAGCCAACAACAGCCATTGAGATGCTCATGGATGGGGTGCTGCCTCCCTCTTATAGCCGTGGGTATGGCTTGAAGACAAGCCCTTGGGGACAGCAGCTTCCAGAGACTGCTGTCCCTGTCACTACCAGCCCAGTGGCCACCCAGGAGAATCTGACAGCTATGCAGTCAGAACTACTAGCTGAGCTGTTCCCAGGTGTGTGTGTGTGTGTGTATGTGTGAGTGTGTAGGCTGTGTGATCTGTGAATCTTTGCTTTTTACGTTGTCAAACTTGACAGATAACAGACACACCACACAATCTGAACTCTGCTGTTCTCCTGAGTGAGGGCTGGGGGCTCAGTCACTCTCTCCGTAGTCTGCCAGCTCCCGGCCTCTTATCCCTCCATCATTTCCTCCTTTCCCTGCAGGCCAGCCTTACTAACAGAGGCCTCCAAGAGCATCCACCAAGATGAGCAGAGGCCAAAGTCATAGATCCCAGAAGCCACGGAGTCTCAGAGTTCTGCCTCCCGCCAAAGACAGAAACATGGTCTCGGTGACATTTGCCGTATTGGTTATGACTATTTCCTAAAAGAGACAGAACCCTCACCTAACCTCCAAGTTATCCCAAGACGCCAAGTTCTAACTTACTTCTCCAAACCACTAAGACCCATTTCTCTCTTGGTCCCCCAGCACTTGGGACTGGTATTCTTAAAGACTCTTCCCAGATGTCAATGCAGCTGTTGAAGCTTCACGAGTTTAGGGCCTCTGCCTCTGGAGAGCCCACCAGGCAGGGCGCTTCCATTGCCTGTATACCAGTTCCTTAGGGTTTCTGGCATGCCCCGGCAGCTAGGTGCTACCTACTCCTTAGTACACTCCGTTCAACACTGTCTGCAGCAGCACGTAGGGAAAGTACCGCGCCTGCACGGTCTGGAACCACGAGTCTCGGCGGAGGGTGTCCAGGTTGAATGCAATCCACAGAGCACGAAGTTTAGGTGAAACAACAGCTCCTTTATTGTTCTGCTGGGGCTAGCTTTTATACCATGGCACCAAATGGGGAGGGGGCTGCTAAGGGACTGTCACCTGACCCAAGGAGGAACTCTCATCTGACTCCAGTAGGGGTCAAGGACTGATCACATGCACTCCACCTTCATCTGTCCCCAGTAGGGACTGTCACCTGACCCCAGCAGGGATCAAGGAATAATCACGTGCACTCAAACTTCCTCATCCAACTCCAGGAGCAGAGGGAAGTTAAGATTCTTTGCAGATAAGCACCTCAAATGGGGGCAGGGAAATATAACTCGGGGTAGCAATTCCCACAGGAAAGCTCCTTTAGAAACATGGGCCACACACAGTGTGCACATCCCAAGTTGTTTAGACTCACAGTTTGGCATAGTTGCTCTCCGCTTGTCTCTCATTCCATAATTCTCTTCTCCATGGGAAGCCCTTTCACTAAAAAACAAACAAACAAAAAACATGGTTTGGTTGGTAAACTGTTTGTTACACAAGTGTGAGGAGCTGAGTTTGGATCCCTGGCATCGCATAAAACCGGACACGGTGGTGTGGGCCTGTAAGCGCAGTGCTGGGGAGGAAGAGACAGGCAGGTCTATGGAGCTCACTGATCAGCCGGGTTAGTTGCATTCATGCAACCCTTGGGGACCTAGTGAGAGGCCCTGGGAATCTAGCTCACTATGGAACACTGACCCAGTGTGCCTGCCTGAGGTTCTATCCCCAGCACTGCAAAACAAACAAAATAACCCCATAGTTCTTGGGCCAAGGAGATGGCTTGGTACTTGTCGTACTATATGAGGACTATAGTTAGCCCCTCCCACCCACCTACACAAATGTCTGATGAGCATGATGGCCTGTCTGTAATCTCAGTGAGAACTTCTGACCTTGACATAAACATGCACACACATGTATGAGTCCACATGTTGGAACATACATTCCCTCTCCACACAGAAAGTCAAAAGAAAAACTCAGGCGGAGACTTACTGTGGAAGACACATGATATTGACTTTTGGCCTCCATACACACACACACACACACACACACAAACACACACATACACACACACACATGCACGTACTCACGAGCATGCACACGCGCGTGCACACACACACAGAAATTAAAAGAAAAAGAACAGCAATAGAGGATAATGCTTGAGGTCGATCTTGGACCTTCAGGTGCATGTGTACCCTTGTTCAAACATGTCCCTATGTGTAGAGAGTGGAGGAGGCTCTGGATGAGTGAGTGAGTGAGTATTGCTGACATGGGCTTGGCCATCCAGGCTTCCATGGCCTCAGATCACAGAGGAACGGTAAAGCCTGGTTCCCAGAGTGAGGCTCAGAGGGCAATGACAAAGCTTGCCTTGTGGATCTGCGCGTCAATATTGACAGTGTGCGTAGAAAATGTCTGAGATAGCTTTCTTCTCCCTGGGATGTTTATGGCCTACAGACTGCTTCTCTGCAGAGACAGCTCCACGGAAATTAGCTGAATCTGCTTCCTTGATCCACTGTGTCCTAGCAACCCTGCATCCTTGTCTGTGGTTCAAAGATTCATAAACTCATATATGTATAGACATAGAAGTGAAACTGTCCAGGGGGTAAAGAGACCTGTGAGAGGGGAAGGAGCAAGAAAGGGAGGCTGGTGGGGAAGGGGTATGCAGCAGAACTTCACGTATGTGCCTGAAAATGGCATTGGGTAGTACGACAGAAGAAATGGTTTTATACCACTTTATCCTTGGAAAGCAATCAGCCTGGCCATACTAATTTAAGTTGAAAACAATTTCTTACCCATATTCCAAAGGCCTTGTTCCACTGCCTCTGCCACTGTCCTTGTGAAGTCGCTCAAACCCTTGTCTGTGTTGTGCCCAGCCCCCACTGCCAGCAGGAGCCATTTCCTCCGGAAGCACCCAGAATGGTTTGGACGCTTTCTCTCCATCTCTCAGTTGCTAACTTCCTCGCATGATTTCTCTGCAAATGTCTGCCTCCTCTTTGTCTTCTCTGTCCTTCCCTTTCCCGACTCCAGTTAGGAGGACTTCAAGTCGCCCAACTGACCCGGCATCTGTCTGGTGACAAGCGTGTTCATGCCCCTGCCTCTGTCCGCCTACAGATGGCCCCTTCTCTCTTTGATGGTCCCTTCCTCCCCTTTCCTCTTGCCTCTGGAGTGTACATGTGATCATGGCGTCACTCTGAATTGACATTGGCTCCCTGCTAACTCTTGCGAGCCTTTGCTGTTTGCTGAATGCTTTGTTCCTCACTGGCAGCTCTGTTGCCTGCCTCACATCTCCACACACTGTGCATGTCCCAGGATATAGAGTTCCAGGGCTCCCTGGACACTTGGCAGAGCAGTGGCTTTAGATGGCTGTCCAAAGCAGAGTGATTTGTTAGGTGACCTTTACGTGTAAATGTTTTTTACTCTTTCATCCGGGTAAATAAAAAAAAAAAACAAGGCTGCTGACTTTCTGGGGGTTCGGGACAGAACAGTTTGGGGGGCTCTTCCTGGTGTGGGGGAAGTCTTTCTCTTTATGTCTCAGTCTCCTTTTTCACTCAGACTCTTCTCACGCTCGTCTTCTGTTGTTCCTGAAGTCTTTGGGCTCAGACTCTCCCTCGCTTCCTCCACAGGCTTCTCTGTGGAGGGCAGTGGAGAGACCTGGGCCCATGGTTTTCTCTACAGAGTGTAGTCAGTGTAATGTCCTGTCCTGTCTCTTTAAGAGACAAGCCACCTCTCTCTCTCTCTCTCTCTCTCTCTCTCTCTCTCTCTCTCTCTCCTCTCTCTCTTTCTCTCTTTCTCTCTCCCTCTCTCTCTCAGTGTAATGACCTGTCCTATCTCTTTAAGAGACAAATTCTCTCTCTCTGTCTCTGTCTGTCTGTCTCTCTCTCTGTCTCTCTCTTCCCTTCCATAATCCACTAAATAAACATCCATCCTCACTCTGCATGGCGTGCTTCTCCATCTTTCTCTCATCCGCCCCATGGTTCCCTGCTCAGGACTGGCCACCTTCATAGACCTGCAGCAGGGTCTCGTGGTGTGCCCATTGGTCTATCTCTCCTTGTGGCCTGCTGCAGCCTCTCAGGGAACTGCGCCATCCCTGCCTGGGACTGACTGCTCTCGGGATCTGCTGTTCGCTGCCTGCAACCACGTGGCCCACTGCCACTGCTAGGGAACCTGCAGCATTTCTGCCATTGCAGCTGCAGCCACCGGGAATCCTGTAGCATTTTTAGTTTTTCCATTTTTCCGTGAGGGCCTTGCTGCCCCTCACCCCTTCCCTGTCACATCCTTCTGTAAGGCCAGCCGCCCACATCACCCAGACTTCTAGGTTCAGATGAGAGAATGGATCCCCAGTCTCTCCCTGTTGGATGCTTCACCCTCTACCCCCATGTTCACACCTCAGACCAACAGTCCCAGTCCTAGGTCTTGGGACCACTGTGAGGACTAGAGAGCTCCTCACAGTGCCATATTCTCACGGTGGACTGATGAGGCAGCCCCTCTCACAAGTTCTGGTCCCCAGGTCAGGCTCTACTTTGCTAACACAGACCCAGGGAGAGGGACAGTGCTTGGCGATATTGTGCCAGGCCAGGACTGTATGCATAGCCATAGAAATCCCCATACCGTGAGCCCGTCAATCACGCATGATTCAGCTACCAGCCAAGCGTGGTGCTAGGGGCTGGGCATGGCCTCCCCAAGCTTTGCTCCACTCTCCCTCCACAGCAGCAGTGAGAGATGCCTTCAGATTCAAAACAGCAATAATGATGGCGTGAGACAGCGGCAGAGAGCTGCGTGTCTGCTGATAGGCTCTCTGCCGCTGTCTGCCCAGCAACTGTCCCAGCTACTGCTATCTACGTTTGCAACAGTGTCTGTCTTTGGCAACAGTGAGCACTGGTGTGGTCCTGATATGAATGTTCAGGGCATCTGGGAGGCTAGGTTTCCAGGGTTGACCTTGGAAGGAGAGGAGTCCCCCATCTGCTGCTACTGGCTCCCAGTGAGACAGCACAGGTGATCGTGGCATGTATCACCATGGAGACAAAGCCTGCTGCCGTGATCCAGGTTCAGCTACCTTCGGCTTCTGCCAAGGGCTCTCTGAGCATGAAGCCTTACTCTGGAGTCTCAAAAGCGGAAAACAGGCCAATCCCAGACAATACAATTGGGTGCTACACACAGCTACTTCACATGGTCACCGAATCCCTTGTAGGTGACACAGCAGGGTATCGTGGTCACATAGCTGGATATTATGGAAGCCAGTAAGCTAGGTATCTTGTTTGCTAATCAGGGCATTATCTAATGCTTACTTAGAAAAATATACTTTTAGCTCTAAGTCAGAGGGTGGGAAAATATGTTAATCACAAGCTCCTCTTGCTCCCGGAGTGTCAAAGACTTCAGCTCCTTTGTTTTCCAAAGGAAAGAGGAGAGAGGTGTGGGGTGCTGAAAGGCCAAGGTACCTGACACTACTGAGACCCCACCAAGGATGAAGGGGAATGCAGATCATTGGTGCCCAGTTTGAACTGACACCTCCTGATGCATCCCTAGCCTCCAGCACAGACCTGCTCTGCTGCCCACTGGCCCCGGTAATTGCCGTCACCTGGGGACACCAGCAATGCCTGGGTAAGGAGTGTTCACGGTTAGGGAACAGGAGGTAATGGGATACCATCGCAAGAGTGTTTCCTAACTGCGCGACCTCGCTTTACCGCAAACCTCAGCCTAGAATGACCTCTGATTGGTGGACACTGGCCGTGCTGTGATTTGCCTCCCAGAGCCAGCAGTGTAGACCCAAGCTGAGGAGTTCTCTGACCACCAGTCCCTACCAGCAGAACCCAGAGGTGGCATGGGGTGGCTGTGGCCTCTCACAGGTGCAAAGCTGACTGTCTAAAGAACTGAAAGTACACTTCACACTTGGACGGAATCCTTTCAACAGAACAAAAGACAAAGCCACAGAAGTGTCCTGCCTCTGGGGCCTCCCACGCCTCCCCTAAATCTTCGTAAATAATGGGCATGTACTTCTCGGGGGTTCTGTCACGTCCCTCATAGGCTTGTTTGTTCAAACACTAGATCTCTACCTGGTGTGCTGCTCTGGAAGGCTGTGGACCTTTAAGACTTGTGTGTGTGGAAGCCCCAAAGTGTGAGTCTATTTCCACCTTGTTTGAAGGTCAGAGTTTTAGTGAGCTCAAAGTTGTTAACAGCAGGTGTGGTTACACACCCTGACCTAGGGTGTGGTTACTTTGTGTTTTGGATAGATAGACCCTCTCCACCTTGACAGAAGGTCAGAGGATTCAAGCACACTTCTGCTTCTTCTTTGAATTAAGAGGTTTGACCTAGGGAGCGGCTGCCTTCAGGATACTTGGTCTAGGGTGGGTTCACTGACTAAACAACAGGATGCTAATGACTTGATGTCTCAAAGTAGAGAGGCCACTAACTCTTCCAGTTGTCTTTTGTGTCCTGATACTGCAGTCTTTTGTCTCCCCCCCCCCTTGTATTGGGGTGTAAAAGTGTACGAAAAATTAAACATGACCATTTCAGTGTTCACGGGGACTCTCTCCTGGTACTATCCTATGTTTCAGTTTTATTATTTTCACCCTTTACTTGTTTTTCTAATCCCCATGCCCCTACCCTGGTAAGTGGTATGCTTGTCAAAGCTGGTCTCCCACTTGAGGTCTAGCTAGCGGGAATGGGTTGCTGGAGGGGACCCTGAAGCGTTAGTTTCTGATTCCAGTCTGGAGTCCTCTGTTTCCTGATCTGCTAAGATGTGAGGAGCCTCCACCACACACACACACACACACACACACACACACACGCACACACGCACACACACACACACACACACTCCTGTCGCCATGACGATAGAAGCCGCTGCTTATCTCAGGGCAACCAGGAAGCAAAGCAGAAAGAAAGGACCTGAGGTCTGCACATCCTATTCAAGGGCACGCCCTCAAAGGATCTACCACCCTCCCACCAGGCCACGCCTCTTAAAGCCTTCGCCACCTTCCCACAATGCTCGAGGTCAAGGACCAGACACTGCCCTTCCACAGCAGCTACCAACCTGGTGGGCAGAAAGTAGGATCTCACTGATGTCTCATTTTGCATTTTTTTCATGTTGGAATTAGAGGAATCATATTTTCAAAAGTGCAGAGGTATTTTCCTTTCGGGCAAGGATCTTTACATACTGCCTGTTTTCCTACTCCACCGTAGGATTTCTGTCTTATCGATTTACGGCAATGACATCAGCTGCAGACTTTTTTATGCAGGGGACACACATGGATCTTGCCCTCCCTAGTACTACATGCTGACTCCTTCCTAGGGAGAAACTGCATTAGCTGTTTGCTTGTTTTTCTTGTTCACAACTTGTCTTTTAACCTTAATCAGGATACTTTCGGCCATGCAATAATATCTAGCCTTAGCTGATAGAATAAATCAATGATGCTATTTCTGGCTTTGAGATAACATAATCAAAAACGTGGAGCTCTAACATTATACGTTAAAAAAAATTACTTCCATTATTTTTGGCATCTGTCTTTTTCCATTTAGATCTTTGTTCCATTGGGATCTTTTGGGATTTACTTGGGTTCACAGAGGTACCTACTCACTCATATTTTGCCCCAGGAGTGGGCCAGTTATTCAGCACTGTGTTGAGTAACCAGCCTTTCTATTCAGGACGAGCTCTCACCCTCATCTCCTCCTACCCCACCTCCCAGTACCTCTTGTGATTACCTATCTAATCATCCACTGGCAAGGCCAACAAGGAGGCACCGTGCCTAGCCCCAGCGGCCCTCTCACAACGGCAGGCAGAATACTTCATTGGCCCACTTACAAATGGGGTAACACTAGGCCAACCCCTGACTTTAGCAGAGTCCTTGAAACCCCCACCAGGCTCACCATTTACTGCCAACCATAGCCATTCACACTCATCCTCAGTTCCCCGTGCACGGATCCAGAGGGGTCTATGCCTGTACTGAACCGTCCTCTAGGGCAATGGAGCTGTTTGTGGGCACTGTGCCATCTAGAGATTTTGAAGTGTGCAGTAGGCTGTGTCTAGGTTCCGTGAAAATGTGATGCTGTTTTCCAGAAGAAACTCTGTGGGTTCGGGGGGGGGTATCGGGGTCCTGGACGTTGTCCCCTGTAGATACGGAGGGGCCACTGGCTTATGAATTTGGTCCTCCCTAATGCTTTTTATGTCATTTCCTGCCACAGATCTGCTCACTTCCTGTGCCTCTAAGATGTGGGGTAAAGTGCACAGTTAACCCGTGAAAGGTGATTCCCACGTGGGCGAGACTGGCGGATATAAGGTTCTCTGCCAACACTGGCTCTCCTCTCAGCCCTAGGCCCTGCCCCTCTGTGCAGGCAGCAGATCTCCAGCACAACGACAATCCTGTCCACAGGGCCAGGGAGGCCCCTGGAGGGCAGGGCCCAGGCTGCACCTCAGGTGTCTGGGCAGTCCCTCTGCGTCCCAACCAGGGCTCTCATCTGAGAAGGTCAGGAAGTGGTTGTCTCTTGCAGGGCTGTCTTAAATTATTTCAGCTGCACCCGAGGTATTTCAAAGTCAGACCAAATAAACATTCGCATCTAAAAAAGGAGAAACAGGGTCATTTGAAATGGAGAAGAAAGCCTTTCCCATGTCCCATGTCCGGAGGGTGTGGCCACGCCTTCCAGAGAAGTGGCTTTGCTCTTTACACTTGTGCCAGGGCAAGTAGCTCAGCTGCTCTTTCTGGAGGAAAGGCATTTTGCTTTTAAGTGAAATGAGAAGTGGCCTGTGTTTCCTTACCCGCCCCCCCCCCCCCCCCCCCCCCCGCTCCAGAGCCTCCCCAGGGCCCCACCACTGTTGGGATACCATCTTTTGAGTCCTCTCTGCATTTCATGTGTAAACAACTGTATCCAATGTGATCTTATCAGGCCAAGGAGGGAGGGCAGTGTTCCCCAAGCAGAAAGAACCCCACAGCATCCTCCGCGTGGTCTCTGCTGTTGTGTGAATGAGGGCTTCTCCCGTAGGCTCATGTCTGAACAATTGGTGCCCAGCTGTTGGCACTCTTTTAGGACACAGGGGAACCTTTAGGGATAGGCCTTCAGGTTTTCCGACCAGGCCCTACTTCCTGTCTGCAAAAACAATGTGACCAGTTCCTCACACTCCTGCTGTCATGACTTCCTGATGGCTGTGTCCCAAGCAACTTCAAGCCCAAATGAACTATTCTCTGAAGCAGCCTTTTGCCAAGTATTCAACCACAGCAACGAGGAAGGTTACTAGCGCAATCTCTACGGGGCCCCTCTCCTACCGGCGACCTATGTGAAGACGTTTGATCTGGTGCCTGAGAATCATGAGCCTTGCCTTTCTGCAGCATCAGGACCGGCACGCAGGGAGGGCGTGCATTCTTCCCTTCTAGAAACACGCCTCATTGCCTTAGCTTCCTGAAATGAAATCAGTCCCAAAGAGAGGAGCATCTGATGCACCGGGTGATGTCTTCGTGGTTACACCCAGTGCTGACTGTGACATTCTTTACACAGATGTCACCCAGCTTGAGATGAGCGCACACAGGTAGGTATCAGGGGTTTTCTTTTTGATTTTTAAAAATTAAGTATTTTTATTTATTTATTTAGTGTGTGTAGGAGTAGGTGATGGGGCAGGGGGAAACATGAACATGCTATGTCATATGTGCAGAGGTCGGAGGACAACAAACAGGAGCTGGTTCCATTCCTCCATCATGTGAATCCCGGGGACTGAACTCAGGCCATCAGACTTTGTGGCAAGTTCTGTGACTCATGGAACCATCTTGCTGTCTGCCTGACCTTCCCCTTTTGAGACGTGTCTGATCTCCAACTCAGATACATTTCCTACCCAACCAACCTCTTTCTTTCCTTTCTAGTCAGTAGATGAATAAATTGAAAATCAAATCCTCAGGTGCCTTTGAGACTTAGGAGACTTGACTCTTAAAACAGCATTGGAGGATTTCATGAAGAAGTTGGACAGGTGAAGTCAAATTATTGCTAAAAACTGGCAGAGCCCGGAGCCCAGAGCTTCTCTAGTAAAGCTCCTTAAGTTAGGGCATGGAGAATTCCAGAGAAGAGGGACTGGGTCATGGGACACAGAGAGGACCTTCCAAATGGCCCAGAGGGTGTCTTGTTTGCTCTCAGTGGAGAGTCAGCCTTCACATCGACGGAGACCTCCAGAGCTGACACGGGCTCCACCCGTCATGGTCAGGTCACTGTAGTCAAAATGAAAAGCGGAGTCCTGAAGATCAGATGCTCCAAAAGCTGCTTTCACACATCTTTGCTTGATCCCCAACCATAAGCACCCAGGGGTGCAGAGGTTTTCAAACAGCCCAGGCCACAAGGAAGGCTGTAGGTTCTCCAGAACTGGCCCACACAGCAGGAGCCGTCAGTCAAACACAGCAGTTCCCGTGCACGCTATACTCAGGAACCCTTTGCCCAGTTTGAACATTAAATTTTTCCCAAAAGTCTATTGGCAAAGGCTTGCCCCTGGGGTGGCACTGATGGGAGATGGTGGGGCCTCATGGGGCATCTCCAGGTTATTGGGCATCTTTGTACCCTGGCTGTGAGGTGAGTGCCTCTGGTCTGCCCTGTGCCCCCTGAAATAATGTGTTTCCTCACTATGCTGGGCTGTTTATGGCAACTTGACATAAGCCAGAGAGTCATGTGGGAAGAGGGAACCTCAACTGAGAAAATACCTCCAATCAGATTGCCTGTAGGCCAGTTCGAAGGATGATTGATGTTGGGGGGTCCAGATCACTGTGGGTGGTACCATCCCTGGGCTGGTGGTTCAGGGTGCTGTAAGAAAGCAGGCTGAGCAAGCCATGGGGAGAGAGCCAGTCAGCAGCCTTCCTCTGTGCCCTATGTATCAACTCTGGTCCCCAGGTCTCTGCCCTGCTTGAGTTCTTGCCTTGGCTTCCCTTCTTGATGGACTGTAGACTGAAATAAACCCTTTCCTTCCCAAGATGCTTTGGGTGCTGGTGTTTGTCACAGCAGTACTATGGAAAGAGAGGCCTAAAGAAATGAGAGGCCCAAAGGCAATGGGGCTAGTTAGGGACTGAAACTTCAGAAGTCATGAACTAATGTCAGCTTTTTCTCCCCCTCCCAACCCCCCAAAAAACTTTATATAAAAATCTTGAAAATAAATAAAAAATATCACATACTAAAATTAGCCAGATCCAGAGTTTAAAGAACTCAATGAACTTCTCTACAGTTAAAGGTGGCATTCAGAATGGAAACTGTAGAGCCTCACATTAAAATGTACACTTTCAGTAGTGAATATATTTTGTGCACAGAAGCACCACAAAAATATCCACGACAGAATCAGAACCAGAAAAACAATTAGCTTTGTATGTACCTTTTCTTCTTCGTTTGCCTGCACCCGTGTGTGTTAAGTGTGCATGCGTGAGTATTGTGTACGTGTGTGTGTGCGTGTTTGAGCGTGCATGGAGGCCAGAGGTAAGCATCGAGTGTCTTCCTCAATTACTCTCCACCTTACTTTGTAAGACAGGATTTTCCACTGAACCTGGAGGTCACTGGCTCACTAGACTGGTTGGCCAACAAACTCCAATGGCTTC